TTGAGGTAGCAGAATTAGATAAATCAACAATGATATTGCGTGGAAAAGAAGATGAAATATTTCAAAGGAAATGGTTGAGAATGCACAAATGGTGGGAGAAATTTACTATGTATAAGACCTCCAAAAAGTGAATGTAAAGGTTGAAAGTGTTTGTGGCTGTATAATACAAAACTTAATAAATAGAGTATTAAAAAAAAAGACTCCATTCCAAAAGTGTTTGCTTACTTGCCTTAATCAAAGTCAGACCTTAGCTGCTTTCCTTCCCAAGGCTTCAATCCAACACACATTACCTGTGACAAAGGCCCACAGAAGTCAGAGGGACTCAATTCTAACTCAGCATGCTTAAGATCAAACTTCATGCCATATTTTTAAACTTTTGATAGAACTGATCAGATATTTCCACTTCTCAGGGTTTTCCCCAATGGGACCGCTAAGCCAGGCTAGTACACCAAATCCATGAAGATTTTTTTTTAAAAAAAATACCAACACCATCACTTTAAACTAACCGACAATCTCCAAAAGACTGGTGGCACCATTTAATATCACTTATATTGCATGATGAAATGGAAATCAAAAGGAACAAGACTGAATGCAGATAACCCTCAACAATATGGAGGATGCGAAGAACGCGGCTGAGGTTGCGTCAATGCAGGGAAAGATAAACCAATATAAAAAGCTCTTGTTATTCCCACAAGCAACAAAAAACCAAACATTTAATCAGAGAACTGGACGACACGTCATGAATAAAAGCAAAATAATTGCCAATCTGGGTCACACCAATAGAGCACCAGCCCCAGCATCCTGCCTCCATTAGTGGACAGTCAGATATTAGTAGGTCAAGGCTGTGATAGCCACCTTCTGTTCTGTTCCAAGCAGCAAATAATCAGATTCACAAGCTGATACAGACCTACCATTCAAATCTTTTTTCTAATCTTTTTTTTATTACAGCCTTCCATGCCAGGAGCCATTGTTAACATCCTGTGGCAATAAATTCCAATCCACAGGTTACCTCTGCCCATCAGAAAGGCAACTTCTGGCTATAAGATAACTTTGGCTACAATCCTAAGGATGCTTTCCTGGGAAAGTAGATAGCACAGCAACAAACAGCACAGCGTTTACTTCTGAGAGAACCTGCGAAGAATTGCTCTCAGTGTACCTCGCAGAAAAGAAAGTTCTTCAAATCCAATTTCTCACTCTCCAGCCATAGGAGAATTTATACTCGGACAGACATCTGCCATATTTTTTAAAAATCCTCCAAGGATTCGAATCCCAGCTTTCCCAAGCAACATGCTCTGAAAACACATTCAACACTTGATACAGCCTGCTGTGGAGACCCCCAGCCTCTGCAACGTAAGAACCCAATGTCTTCTGCAGAGCTACACCCTTGCTTTCCCAGCTTTGCATCCCAAGGAATAGCTGTGGTTCAAGAATTCGTCTGTCACTCTGCCTCTATTGGAAGATGATTTTGGTAAGTCCTCTGCACTAGGCCAGGGTCTCCAGAGGCCCAAAATAGGGATTTCGGGGTTAAGGATACGTCTTGGACCTGCTTTGCAAATATAGAATGGACTGCACCTCTTTGGACTGAGGAAGGAAGATCCTGGGGTATCATGGGGTGGGGCCACTGGTGGAGCATCTGCTTGGCATGCAGAAGGTCCCAGGTTCAATCCCCAGCATTCTCCAGTTAAAAAGGCTAGGCAGTAGATGACGTGAAAGACCTCCACATGAGACCTTGGAGAACCCCTGCCAGTCTGACAACACTGACCTTGATGGACTGATGGTCTGATTCAGCACACCACAGCTCCATGTGTGTTCATGTGTGCCTCCCAGTGTTCAAAACGTCCTGCAAGTAGCACAATGAGGCAACACAAGTAAAGGGAAGGAGCCGAATCTTTCTCACACACTAAGAGTCAGGTTGGTGTAGTGGTTAAGAGTGTGGACTGATCTGGGAAAACCAGGTTTGATTCCCCATTCCTCCGCATGCAGCTGCTGGTGTAACCTTGGGTCAGTCATGAGTTCTTTCAGAGCTGTTCTCTCACAATCAATTCTCTCAAGAGCCCCACCTACCTCAAAGGGTGTCTGTGGTGGGGAGGGGAAAGGAAAGCAGATTGTAAGCCACTCCTTCAGGTACTGAAGGGCAGGATATAAATCCAATCTCTTCTCTTCTGCAGTACTAGCTTTCTGTTTGCATGGAGGGCTTGTTTTTTAAACACAAAGGCTCATTCACAGCTGGAATCTACCACCTGCGGTCTGAGGTGGTGCATTCCCTCTACCACCTCAGCATCCTACCACCCTCTTCCACGTGTGAGCCAGGTCTTGGACTCAAATGGCATGGGGCAGCAGCAGATCCAAGTGTCAAAACCCCATCATGTAGACAACAGAGGGAAGCATGAGGGAGGAACCCAGCCTCCCACCTACAGCTTACCTCTCCACAGTCTGCCCCCAGTAGTGATTTCCTTCCCCTAGCTACGCTACAATACTGGTAGTAACCATCTGAGGAAGAGGATCTGTAGGAAGAGAAGCAGCAGGTGTGGGAGGAAGGTTTCAGCAGCCCTCACACTTTTCAAATCAGATGCCCACTTTTTGCATAACTGAGGCAGATTTCATCAAAACACACAGATCTGCCAGAGTCACATCCTAACACATCTTAGCCTCAGGACTGTGGGTAACTTTGTGTGCTCAGGCCCCAGGGAGTCAAAGAAGGGAATAAGAATGTTCAGCACTGGATCCTGCGATTGGCTGGCAGTATAAAGCATCTGGATTGGCTAGTAGTATGAGGCCTCCAGATCAACACCTGGCCTTCTTCTCTCACCAGAGCAGTACAGTATGCCTGATATATACCATGTCATAGCCACAGTAGGGAGACAGGCAGATTTCCTGCAGAGGCAGCATAAAATCTCCCTAAATAAATAGGTAATAATTAAATGGCAGATATCCTGGGTTGGAGAAGGGTTGGAGAATAGAAAAAGCTCCTAGGCCTGCTCCTCTGATCCCATTCTTCTTCAGCAGCACTAAATTAGAAGGCCTTATAGGCACGCCATCGTTCCAGTGGACCACTTCAACAAAATGGCGGTAAAGGACAAGATTCACGGCAGCTTCTTAGGTGTGAAAATGAACCGAGGGAACATTTCATAGCCATACACTTTGTGAAAGAGCGCTGGTGTAATAAGACATCATCTATCTATAGTTGAGTCATCTCCTTATTTACATGTACCCACATCTGAATAGCAATTGATGAGAAGCCTTCGTGTTATACCATTGAAGAAAATCTGTCCAATGCCTCCTCCATTTCTACATTCAGTGCAAATCAAGGTCTACGGAGATTTTTGAGTGTACACAGGATTAACAATGCGGGGGAGCAAAAGAATTTTTACAATGTTAATTCACTACAATTCTACAACTCTGGCTAACTGTAAAGCACATCCAAGGTTGTTTATGCCCTTGTACATAATCGCTGTCTGTCATTGAAAAGAATCACGGTTCTTCAACTGGTGGTGCCTCAACCACAAATGGGTGGCTGCTTGACCTAAAGTGTCCCACGCCAGCAGTGCCTCAACCACTGTTTGGAGATTGTGGAGAAAGATATGCAGAAAGAAGGACTGGGGGGGATAGCAAGAGAGTACAGGCAAAAATAATACGAGAAAAATTAAAAAATGGAACCGGTACTGTGATCTGGAAAGGTTGAAGGTGGCTGATTTGAAGATACTGGACTTATGGAATCAGGTACAGGCACTAAAATGCTACACTTCATAATTCATAAGATCTGGACAATAATATACATTCGCAAAAAAGGCTACACACGGTTTGAACTGGTCAGCTTGAACAGTACTTTTGAATTAGAGTGGCAAATTACAATTTAGCCTTTTCCACTCATCTGGATGGTATATGGGCTACAGAAAGATTTTGCCTGTATACCTTTGTGCTGCCAATTTATCTTCCTTCATAGGTCAGCTTCCTGGGCTAATCCTCAATCAACTGGGGAGGAAGTATACCCATGGAGATGATACTTATTTTCCTATCCTGCCCATAGTCACTGCAAGACCACAACACACTCTTCTTCCTTCCAAAATATCAGAAGGAAACCAAGGCCCTAAAACATTTTTTAAATGATTCATGGCAAAAGTATTTGACTTCCACAAACCTCTCATCAATCCATTCAAAGTGTGGGATTCTTTTTTAAACTTGACATCCATCCATCTTAATCTATAGGTTTTCTTTACAAGTTGTCGTAATTCTACGACAGTTCTAAACCAAGAAATACCTGATTATCTCAAAAAAGGAACTTAAAATGTAAGAAGATAAAAAAGAATGCAGCCTTTTTCTTGGGGGAGGGGAGAGACGAAACAGACTATCCATCATTACAAACTGCCATGGACTGGTTTCAATAACCAATTAATTCCACACACAGAGGAATGTATATTTAAAATGTATACACAACATGTATAGTTAAACGTGCTCCAAAATTTAGGAGTGCTTTATTGCTCCTGTTTTATAGTCTCAGATACTCGCAACTTAAAAAGAACAAAAATAATATTTAAAAATGAGCATTCAGTACAAATGTGTGCAAACTTGGCCTGAAGCTATGATGATGTTAGCTGTGCTGCCTCTATCTCTTCTTGTGCAGAGGTGACACCATACATCCTACAGGTCTATGAGTATCCCCCCCCCCAACCCCCTTTTCACAGGCCCTTGTAGAACTCCCCCCATTTGGGGTCCCGTTTCACAAGTCCAGCGCTGTAGACCCCAGAACCTCAGACCCAGGTTGCGTCCCCACGTTCACCTCAAGGAAGAAAAGGTTCCACCCAGACCAGAATGTTTTCCATCCGGCCCTCTGATGAGCGAAGACGGCTCCGACGGCATTCGTTGCTAAGAGCACAAATATCCCGGCAGTCAAGCCAGGGTCCCTCCGCCTGCCTGCCTGGGCCAAGGCAGAGAGAAGGGGGGTAGGGGGGTGGGTGGGGGGGAAGAGGTCTCAAGCGGGCAGGAGGCAACGCGTGGCTTACCGTGGCTGAGGCCAGGCTGTTCTCGGCCAGGGTCAAGTGGTGAGGCTCCCACCGCCTCAGGAATTTGGAGGTCAGGATCTTGCTGAGAAAGGTCCGGGGGTGCCTGACGACGCACACCTGGATGTCCCCCTCTTGCAGCAGCTTGTACCTCATGCCGTTGCAGTGGACTCCCCGCCGGCAGAGCGCGGCCCCCATTTTCGTCCCTTCCGTCGCAGACATTTCGGCCAGCAGCGCCTTGCTCTCTTCGAGCTGCCTGTGGTCGCTTCCCCCGCCGCAGCTGCCGTTCACATCCATGGCAGCTCCTGGGAGGCTCGCCTCCCCCCACCCACCCCCACCAGCCCCTCTCCTGCAGCCCACCTCACAGGGGGCGCTTGGGGGGGGCGGCGGCGGCGGTCCGGAGTCTTCTGCCCAGATCACCTTGGGGATTTAAAAAAGGTATCAAAAGACACGCACATACAAACCAGTTTGAAAGGGGAGATCAAAAGGGGGGGGAGGGAGAAAAAAAAATCTTGTTTAAAAAAATTTGCAAACGCGCGCGCACACTCATGCACAAAGAGGAAGCGATTTTTTAAAAAAATCCTTGTTTCAAACTTTGTCTTTTTCCCCCCCCTTCTCTGGATATAGTGCGTTTGGGAAGGTTTGGCGTGGGGGTTTTCTCCCCCTTTCTTTCTTTCAAAGGACTAAATCCATATTGGAAGGAGAGCTAGATCCAGCCGCAGGAAGCAGGAGACAAAAGGTAGCCTTCATTTTTTTTAAAAGGAGGTGGGAATCCTCTTTGTTGGGTAGATCAGTAAAAAAAAAAAGAGAGAAAGATCCGTTTCCAGCTTGCGTCCCCTTCTCTCTTGGTGGCTGCGGTGCACGTCTGGACGGGGGCTGCGGATGCGTGTACGAGGGAGGGAGCCGGGGGGGGGAGAAGGTAGGTGAGCGCGTGTGAGTGGAGGTGGTGTGGGAAAAGAGCCGGGGGGGGGGAGAAGGTAGGTGAGCGCGTGTGAGTGGAGGTGGTGTGGGAAAAAGAGAAAAGAAGGAGGGGAGGGGGGAGGAAAAAAAAGGCGTGTGTCAGCCGCTTCCTCTGCTGGCTGTAGGAAGAAGCGAAAAAGCTCCGCTGAAAGATTGTTGCGGGAGCAGCTCCGAGAGCGCTTCTGATTGGTCCCCTCGGTCATGTGCGGCCTGCTCTGACGTCAATGGGAGCCGGAGTAGCAGATTGCAGCTCTCTTAAGGCAGACTGGGGGGTCGGGAGGGGCCGAGGGGGGCGGCGGGCAGATTGCAAAAGCGGGCTCGGCGATGCCAGCTCGTAGCCCTCCAGCGGGGCCCCCGGGGAAGGGAAAGGCGGATGGTTGGAACCACGCGCGCTTCTTTCTGAGTGTGCGAAGCTTGCGAGCGAACCCCCACACCCAGCCAGGGAATGGGGAAGGGAGTATTATTAAGAGGATGATTAGGGGGATTCCGAGCACTTTTTTTTTTTTAAGTGTTCAAAGGCTGAAGCTTTGCGAGCGAGCCCCCCCCCCCCCCCCCCTCCCCGGGACCG